GAATCTTTTTACGGTAACTTATTAATATAGCTAACAAGTTGTTGTTCAATCATTATTATTGTGCCTGTTATGAATAAAAACTAGTAGTTTGAAGCAATCACAAAAAATGTTTAGTTAGTTTTTCCGGTTTGAAATATTCTGTACGATTTTTTTCGGGCATTCAACCAGTTCGTGTCTTTTGTGCTACTTGAAATCTACTGTGCAATACAGACATCGGTATTTGAGTATAGGACGACATGATTTCATAGCAAGATATGGAATATTGAGCTTGATTCAGTAACCGCTAGCACTATACTTTGATAAAGATGTTTTAATTATTGTTTCCATTATACTTGTGCTTGTGTTTAACTTATGTATCATTTCGTTATAAAAGAGAGATCAAGTACTTTTCTTGTAGTTACCGTGGTAACCGTCTCATTGAACCATCTCTATATACCTTTCAAATAGCAGGGTGTTAATAACATATTTAATATGCATCTTTCTGTAGTTATAATTTCTTCCATTTTCGTTAATTTAATTTATGGCTGCCTAAATCCACCATGCATAGATACATCATTTGATTAATAAAAATGGACCCTAAAAATTCTTGAGGTACTGGAATCAATACCATCATTATAAAAAGTAAAACATAAAAAATACCGAACTCCAAGGAAAATTGAAAACGGAAAGTCCCTTAACAATTGGCAAAATAAAAAAAACCAAACACATCAAACGAATGGAAACAACTGTCATATTCCTGACTTGGTACAGGCATTTTCATTTTCTGATGTAGAAAATGGTGGATTAAACCTGGTTTTAAAGCTAGCTAAACCTCTCACTTGTATGACAGTCGCATAAAATTCCATTACATTGACAACAATGTATGAACAAAACAGACATAATAGGTAAAATGTCAGGGATACAGCTAACATTGTGATATAATCTCAATCACTAATACACTCTCCCTCATCTACAGGAATGCCAACGTCTATGATTTGCTATGGTGCAAAGTAGTTGATGCACAATGGCATTCTATATGATCAAGATTCTGTCAATGAACTCTTATAACGGGTTAAGGAGAGGTAGGGAAAAAGAATACCTTTTGTTAAAGTAGTTGCACGGCCCTAATAAAACAGAAGAAATTAAGGTTACAAAAGATTGATAGAAGAACGAACTAACGAACCCCTTCATCATTTTTAAAACTTATATACAGAAAGCGGGAGTATAAAAAAGAGCAACGGCCTTACCAAAGAGATATTTTGCCACAAAAAAAAAAAGAAAAAAAAAAAAAAATACAAAGAAGTAAATGTAATTTTTTTTGCTTGTTTGTGTAAAAATATATGTTGGGCGTTTTTTCAAACATCAAAAGCAAACAAGACGACAAAACTGCTCGATTCGCCCTTCAAAGACTAAATGGCGAATAAAATAATTTCACCTACATAACCGGGTATGGACATCAAAGAAAGCAATGACATATTTAACATATATTCCTGTTTATTAAAAAATAGTACCTCTTACATTAAAGACAGACATGCTGACAAACGATGTTGCAGATATCCGATAGTTTTTTGTGTCAGATCCTGGATTTACTCTACATGTTGCTATATATAAAAGGAGAATTAGTTTGTTCTACTAAATTTTCAAACGACCAGAGATGTCGATTATCCTAATTCCGACAGATATTATCTGATAAAACATAAAATAATCATTAAATGAAAATAAATGACAAAGTGATCTAATGTAATAATGAAAGAAACTGTTCAAAAACTTGCTTAAGGGAAATGATTTATGTGTCCCAAACTAGTCCATTTGAAGTGCAGTTTTAAGATTATGATTTTGTAATGTATCTTTTATTTTATCTCTGATTTCAATTGACGTTTATCTAAGGGGCATCGAAACTAGATTTATGACTGTTATATTTGAATGATACAGTGATTAACTTTGTTGCACTTACCATGTTTCAGTGAAAAGTTTTTGTACGAAATGAGAAATGTGATTGATATCTTTTATTTATTATTTTACCTGAGACAGGTCTGCCCAAGATTCTTCCAACTGATACTTTTGTTTGGTTTGACCGATCCTAAATCCTTCAGATAGACCAGCTTCTGACCAGGCCTATAATGTGGTCTTATGTTCTGTGGACTGCAGATTCAGGCCATCACTATCCCTAAATATCAAGAGCTTATCATCAAATATTGGTATAGTTACAAATTTATCCTACATTTAAAAAAAATCAACTCAGAATCTTTTCATGGATGTATCCTGGCCACATGTTTCGTTTCATTTACTGACGTTAAGATACTGTAAACAAACTTTTTTTGAATTATATACTGTTTGCGTTTAAAACTTTCTACTCGACTTCGCGTTGATTCATTTACACGATTTTTAAAAACTTTTTTGACGTATTTAATATATCGTGAATATAAAATATAAAGAAGGTGTTATTTGCGTTAAATTCGACTCGCTAAAATCGCCAAACCTAAATCAATTATGATTTATATTACTCAAAATTCTATTTACTCAATGACACATTAAGGAGAGTTTTGGACAAGGTTAACATTGTATTTTCAAAGAGTTACTTTATGCACTCTGTGCTTAAAGTTATCTTGCCGTGATCCATTGATTAAAAAAAAACAAGACTGCTTTCCTATTTAGATTTCAGTGTCCTTTCAGACTTTCAGAAGCAGTTAATGATTTAGTTGTTAATATGAGAAAAGAGTCTAAAATTGCATTGCACAAGCAAAACGTTCATTAAAAAGTTTCCTGTTCCGGTAAGTTCACACTTCTTTTAAACAATGGTTTTGCTAACTACTTACACAGACACTTTATATCTGATTTACCTGATGGCCAACTTATTCATGTATTGTAAATGTCCATGTCTCACATTGACATAGTTTCGGCAATATTTTGTAACTGTTCTGGCTTTCCCTTACCTATGCATTAAGTGTATTCCCCAGTTACACAAATTACCCGTTTTTCACAATACCCTTTTAAAGAATCAGATCTCAAACGTGTTTCTAGTAAAGCATCAACATTCTTCTTTTGTGAAGCATGTTTTTTTTTTGTCGGGACATACACTTTTTCAAAGAATTCATTTTATCTAAACAAGGGTTTTTCATGTGATCTTTTTAATTTTTAAAGATTAACTATTTTTAACATAGTAATGAAAAAGAACATCAGCAAAAAAAAATCCAATATATAAGTGAACATGTTCTATAAGAAAAATCGACATAAATTTCTATCCGATTATTTGTCTCATTCACCTATATCAAACATGGTTATTCTTTTGTTAACATGAAATGATTAAACAAATGAAACTTGGAGCTAAAATGATTCAATCAACATCCCTGAAAAAAAGAATAACAAAAATATCATACTCCATGGTGAATTCAAATAAGGGAAGTCAATAAAAACTGACAACCAACGGAACGAGTGAAAAACAACAGTCATATTCCTGACTTTGTATAGGCATTTTTCGAAGAAAATTAATTAGGGGTTGAACTTGGTTTTATGGCTAACTAAACCTCCCACTTGTACGACAGTTGTTTATAGTTCCGTCATATTGACAAAATTGGGTGAGCAACCCAAACAGACATTAGAGGTTAATGTGACAATAACTAGGATCCAGAAGGTAAACTGTGTAAACATGTATCAAAGACATACATACAACACAACTTACTAAAATATTCATACACACATACAAATTAATCCAACAAAGACGACAACGAAAAATTCGTTGTAGTTGATAGTAAATTTCACAAAGACGCCATTAAGTAAGTTTTTTGTAGTTGATGGTAAATCAACAATATAGCCGATAAAAAAAGATTTTGTAATTGATAGTACATACCGTACATAGTATACACTTTCTCGATAAATTACAAATTCAATAAAATATCAATACAAGGGTAAACTAATTGGAAACAACACTGTAACAACCTCTTCCGTCTAAACCTGCACCAGGAACTTCCATATTAAAAAACCTGATAGCGGGATGCATAAATACCGAGTCAGGTCAAAAGTCAAACGACCAGAAGAAACATAATAGCACAAAGACAAATAAAAGGAAAACTGTAAATAAACAAAAAGATACATAATTTCGTCACCTAGAATTTATAACTCAAGACCATCTTGTTTTATTTGTGAAGTAGACACTGAATATTTATCTTTTAGGAATTGGTACTTTCCGATAAACTTTTTGAAAAAAAGTACGAGATGTTCTTTGACAAAATACTTGATCATAAACTTGTTGCCTAAGCACCGATAACGTTTTACAAAGTCTGATCGAGTAGTAGCTGCACGCTCTTGAATATCGTATGAGATGAAAAATGTATACTCCATACGCGGATGAAGATATATTGCTGTTAAGGTGAGGAACAACTATAATTTCAAAATTCAAATCGTCTCGTTTGTAATACTAAGATGACCGCTGTTATCAAATTCGAGATAAACGTCTAGACATGATGAGGCAGAGGAAGCTGTATCCGTGGTTTCTTTAATCTCTAGTTCAAGAGAATATATGATAATTAATGGGACACAATCAGAAAAGTTTAGATTGTTAATGGAAAGTTCGTCATCAATATACCTGTATATCAAATTAAATAAAAACCTGTCAGTATTTATTTTACGACGTAGAGACCTAGTTTGATCGAACTGTGGAAAAAGACGTTCATACGTGAAGTTAATTTCAATATGCTCTTTAGTGTTAGTCTCATCAGTAGCTACTCATCATATGTCCAATCCCAAATCTCATTATTATCATATCGATATAAGAAATACGTTTGACAATATCATTCATCTTTGTATGTATTAACTGTACCTTGTGATTAGTCTTTATCGTAGAGTTTTTGTTAGTGGAAGTGATTTGAACTAGATGGTACATAAATATCAAAAGAACAACGTACTATTGAATATGTTTATCATCTTGATACTGGTACAACAAATATACCGAAGACCCATTGCACATTATTATACCGTTTCACAGATGATATCGGATATGTTCCTTATGTCGTAACTACAATACCCTTCTCTTTTCACGAATGTGACCTACCGAATTAGACTATTTACTGGATTTGTAATAACATAAGCAACACGACGGGTGCCACATGTGGAGCAGGATCTGCTTACCCTTCCGGAGCACCTGAGATCACCCCCAGGTTTTGGTGGGGTTCGTGTTGCTTAGTCTTTAGTTTTCTATGTTGTGTCATCTGTACTATTATTTGTCTGTTTGTCTTTTTATTTTTGGCCATGGCGTTGTCGGTTTGTTTTCGATCTATGAGTTTGACAGTCTCTCTGGTATCTTTCGTCCCTCTTTTGCAACTTTGGTTTGTTGGTCAGTATTGGAGAATAGTCCAGTGGCTCAGGTCAGGAATCTTCGCTAGCCAAGGGTTACAATCCACTTCCCTTCTCTCCACCCTTGGCAGATTAAGCCAACATTTATGATAACAATGTTGCGCCATCTATCGGTAGATTAAAGTCACGCCCATTCCGAATACATTATTCGTGACCAATGGTAGCACTTGAACTCTTCAATTTGGAGGTAAAAACACGGTAGAGTCTACATTCTACACACTTGGTAAAGCAGGAAACGGAAATATACGTTGACATTCATGCATTTGTGTGAGAAACATACACAGAAACTTCTATTAGTTGATTAAAAACATTCAAATTGTCACTAAATATAGTCGTATGTTTAGGAATGTAAAGACTTGTTGCACAATAAGCACGTGGCAATTGTTTACATACACTTTCTACATTTACACGTGATCTTGTTATAGGCGCTTTTTGATTGGATGCAGCAAGTTTCGACTTCAACAAATGAAAATCATTACCTTGTGTCTCCGAAATTCTATCTCAATCCGCCAAGGGTGGAATGAAGGGAAGTGGATCGTAACCCTTGGCTAGCGAAGATGCAGGTCGGGATATGTCAAACCTTTTTTGCATGATATAAACCCTTTAAAACACTTTTGACAAGGAGCTATAGAACTTATATTAATAGACAGAGACGTTCAGATTGCATGTTGTTAGTTTAAAAGTTACAAATCATTGAAAAGACCACAAGGACAACAAAACCCCCTCCCCTTATGCCAATCCAGACCATATTTCCAAAATTAAAACGCACAATAAAAAATAGACCAGCTGCCAATAAGATGACTATTACTTTGATTTGAAATGGAAATAAAAGACGAAACATCAGGATGATCCTAGAAATTTGAAGAAATGTTAAAAAGGCGAATCCTGCTTCATTAGCAGCACCCGTCATACAAGTATCTTGTCTTGGGAGGAATAAATCCTACTTTGTAAAGAATCACTCTGATTCAAACAAAAAATATTCTGAAACTGACATTATCAAGATGCTTGATTTCTTGATTGACAACATATTTGTACGTTTGGAGGACGTGTTTTTCAACAGACTGTCGGAATTCCAATGGGAACCAATTGTGCCCCTCTTCTTGACGACTTGTTTCTTTATTATTACGAGGCTGACTTCATATAGGAACTTCTTAGGAAGAAAGATAAGAAGTTAGCAATATCTTTTAACTCTACGTTCCGTTATATAGATGATGTTCTCTCACTAAATAATACAAACTTTGGTGACTATGTTGAACGAACCTATCCCATCGAACTAGAGATAAAGGATACTACAGATACAGTTGAGTCTGCCTCATATCTTGACTTACATCTAGAAATTGACAATGAGGGTCGGTTGAAAACAAAACTTTACGACAAAAGAGATGATTTCAGCTTCCCAATTGTGAACTTTCCATTTCTATGTAGCAACATTCGAGCAGCGCATGAATACGGAGTATATATCTCCCAATTGATACGATATTCCCGGGCTTGTGTTTCCTTTCATGATTTCCTTGATAGAGGATTGCTGCTCACACGGAAGCTATAAAACCAAAAGTTCCAAATGGTGAAGTTGAAATCATCCCTTCGTAAATTTTACGGACGCCATCACGAGTTGGTTGACCGTTATGGAATAACCGTTTCACAGATGATATCGGATATGTTCCTTATGTCGTAACTACAATACCATTCCCTTTTCACGAATGTGACTTACCGAATTAGACTATTTACCGGATTTGTAATAACATAAGCAACACGACGGATGCCACATGTGGAGCAGGATATGCTTACCCTTCCGGAGCATCTGAGATCACCCCAGTTTTTGGTGGGGTTCGTGTTGCTTAGTCTTTAGTTTTCTATGTTGTGTCATCTGTACTATTATTTGTCTGTTTGTCTTTTTATTTTTGGCCATTGCGTTGTCAGTTTGTTTTCGATCTATGAGTTTGACTGTCCCCCTGGTATCTTTCGTCCCTCTTTTAAAAATTTCGGAGAAATGTCGCATTCGATAATGTCACAATCGATGAAAATAGGACATCCGTAGTCATCTTTGACAAAGATATTCCATAACGGAAAGTTCATACTTGACAAACTGAAATCATCTCTTCTGTCGCAGTTTACTTTTCAACCGACGCTCGTTATCAATTTCTAGATGCAAGTCAAAATATAAGGTAGACGTAACTGTACCTAGTGTATATATGGTTCAACTTTGATTGGATAGATACGTTAAACATAATCGTGATAAATGTATGCGAAATATCTTTTCAAATAATGAAATAAAATCAATATCGAATTTAAATGGGCATTATATCAAATATGATATTATAATCATTTTAGAGATAAAGGCATTCATCTTAACGACATATAATTCGTTGATTGTTTCCATTTTAAAAAGTTCAAATCCATTTATTATAGAGTTTTGTGAATAAACGTGACTGAAATACTAAGATGTCTCAAGAACTTTTATTTATGCTTTGTTTCATTTTCTATAATATTTTAAATATTTCTAGGAAAAGTATCTTTATTTAGAATATAATGGTAAAAGAGGTTTGCTTCAAAAGCTTCATTATATTAAATAAATTTCTTGAAAGCAAAGATGAATTTCATTTTTCCTGGTAACTTCATTGGTTTTTTATAAACCACCAGTAAATTTATATGCATCGACAAATGTTAAAACATGTGTTTCTAAGTATTTCTGATGAAATATCTGATATTTACTAATAAAGCCCAATAGTTTGGTCTTGAGAACATCCAAAAATTAAAAATTTTCAATGCCTTTCAAGGATGTATCATTTTACACATAAATAATTTTGCTATTTTGTTTGAATTTCCACTTTTATGTTTCGTAATCTCGTGTCAAATTACATAACTGGATGCTATTGACCAAACTTCTAGAGCAAACGACAGTATGCAACAATTACAGATAAAATGTTGATATCTGACAGATTACTTTTTGGAGGATGAGAAGACAGATTATTGTTACATTTTTGACCTTTTGTTTTGATAAATTCGACTCTTAAAAATTTCCTTATATACGTTAAAGTTTAAGGTGATTGTTCATGTTAGTTTTTATTTAAAGGCACGAACAAACATATCTTTAATTAAACTCATCATAGATACCAGACTTATCATTTTGTACGCCAAACGCACGTTGTGTTTACAAAAGACTAACCAGTGTCGCTCTTTAAAAAAAAACGTAAAACGGCCAAATAAAGTACGAAGTTGAAGAGCATTCAGAACCAAAAATTCCAAAAGGTTGTCAAATACAGCTAAGGTAATCTATTCCTTGGATAGAAAATCCTTAGAATTTAAAAAAAAATCAACGTTTTGTAATCAGTCTCATTTCGGATGTATTTAAAAACTCAATATCAATCTTAAATTAAAAGATTTAAGAGTTAACATGATTCATTGGAAAAACTAGTGACGTAAATATTTTCACTTCTGATGGAACTCTTTAATATTTGGCAATTTCTCTACAAGGATAATTTTTATTATTATTCAACGTTCTAGTAAAGACAATAAGGAAAACAAATAGCAATAAATAAAGTTACCATTTCATATTTATCATTTAATGGTACCATTTCCCTTACAGTAAAACAAATGAGGAGAACAAAAGATTATTAGAGTTTTGTGTAAAATTCGTTTAAATATATCTATGCGAACACCAGCATAAATATACCAGCGTAAATGTATTTGTTTGCTGGCTGTGTATTATAAAATGCACACCAATCCTCAGTTAATGAATAAACTCATCATAAATACCAGGATGGAAATTTTGTATTTGCCACAGACGCGCGTTTCGTCTACAAAAGTCTCATCAGTGACGCTCGAATAAAAAAAGGTAATAAGGCCAAATAAAGTACGAAGTTTAAGAGCATTGAGGATAAAAAAATCCTAAAAGTTTTGCCAAATACAGCTAAGAATTCAGCCACAGTAGTTCAAGATAGAATCTCACCAAAATCGAAAGATATGCAGCAAAAAATAAAGATTGGATTAAAATCACAAAGGAAATTTCAAACGGACATTAACTTTGTTCTCTATTTGAACTTTTTAACTTTTTTTATTCAAGCGTCACTGGTGAGACTTTTGTAGACGAAACGAGCGTCTGGCGTACTAAAGCTTAGTTTGTTTTTCTGTAAAAATATACCTGTTATTATATTAAATTCAAGCAGAAAACCAGTTAATTGACTTAAGGTCACCTTTATAAGCGCTCTGCAACACTTTACGAAGTAAATTTCATAGACGACAAGAACCTAGAAATAGAAGTAATTTTAAAGCATGTAAATAATGACATTTCAAGAACTGCATTCCTAAGGAAAGATACGCTTCATTCTATTGGAAGGATTAAAATTATACCTAGCACGACAATGTAGGCGAATATCCTTTTTTTGTTAAATATCACTGACATTTACTTGTGGTATTGCAATATTTATAGATAAGTATGCTTGTGTTGTAAAATAATATACTAAACTAAAGAACCTGCTAATCCGAGACTGATTGACGAGATCATGTAGAAAATATAATTATTACTATATATACTTTGATGGCTGAAAACAAGCAATTATACGGCATTCATTCAATCTTTTAAAAGGATTAGGAGGGTAAGGTTTAATCGTGCAGTGACCACGAAATTCGTCTTAGCAGAACAATAAAAAAAAATGAGGAAGTTTTGGATCTTATTTTGTTTTATATTGTGTCTATAAATTGAATTTCCGATCAACGTTTCTTGATATCTATCAGCAAACAACACCTCGTATTAGTATAGACAATTAAGATAAATAGGATTGTAGGATA